TGATTACAACAATGTGCGTTTCCATGACAACAATGATTGTTTAAAAAAAAATTAAAACAATAAAAACTTAATAATAACAAGAACTAAATAAAAAGGGTTGCCAATGACAACCTTATTTTTAATCTTTCCATCTTGTCTAACCTAAAGAATCAGGTTTTCTTATTATCTTGAATATTAATGAGAATTTCAAAAAATTACCTCTTTAAAGTACCATCCGGAGAACATTTCTATTCAGGAATGGTGCTATACTTGATAATCAGAGTAAGATTTCTGGTTGTAAAAGTGTTCACATAAAAAATAATAAAAAAAAAACTAATACATTATTAACCAAACCAGAATCTAAAAAGTAATATTTAGGGAACTATGAAAATGTTGGGCAGTAAAATAAAATTTTTAAGCTAGTAGATTAAAAAAGCCAGAGGTCAACCAAAATTAGAATTTTATGAATTGTGGATGGCTAACTTACCTACCATTTTTCTTTCTTTATCTAAAAGTCGAAAAATATTCGATCTTTTTTCTGCCATAATTAATATTTAAATAGTTATTTTAGTATGCAAAACTATGTATACGAAAACAATAACGAAAAACCTGTACAAAATATTATTACTTTGATACTCAAGAGAAATAAGTGAAAACAAAATTATTTACATACCTCGTACCTAATTGTTTTTCACTAACTAAAGGTTATATTAGTATTGTCTACATAATTTGTGGGCTAACTTTACGATGCGTTAATTGTTGTTAACATCAGTTCAGTAAGTTTAATATTGCACTTTGCAATCATAGATATTATTTAAGGTTGTGTGGAAGTTCGCGTATGTACGGATAACATAAACCAAACCAACCAATCAACAATTTTATTTTAAGTCCCCCTCATAAAAAAAATATTCATATATAAATTGTAGTGCTGAGGCATACTAATTATTTGAAAAATATTGAATAGAACAAAAGGTATTGCATTTGTCGAATCCTTGTGGGACACTGTATACATATTATTACATGTCTTTAGATTATTATAGAATAAGAAATTTGGGAATCATATTATAAAAGATTATACCGAAAATTAGCAACATAGGTTTAATAATAATATAACTTTGTATTTGTGCGGAACATGATTTTCAGCAGTTCTCGTACTAAAACCCGAATATTGGTCCGAACACACGCGGAAAAGATATGCGTGGTAGCAGTTGCAAAGTAACATTCTTATTAGATTCTAAGCGAAGCGAGGAATGTATTGGTTTTACAATGATGTTAATTTTTTAAAAATTTTTTCTGTGTGATCAACTTTTTTACCAGAATTCTTTCTTCGAGTATCAAATGTAGCATCTTGTGTGAAAGGAAATTTTCTCTAGTTAGTGCATTAGAGAGGTTAATATTAGTAGAAGTTATTTTTAATTTTTTTAAGAGGTTTTTAAAATAATTGGGGAAAACCCGAATGAAAATTAGAGGTAAATATTATGGTAAATATTTACGGTGTGTCATGGCGGCGTTACCAATTTTATTATTTTAAATATAATACTCCAATCGAAAAATAACAAAAGATTTAAAGATTGATTTTGTTCCTTTTAATATAATATAGTTACTGACAAAGAATATTGTTTTAAAATATCTAAAGTATTTTTTATAATTATTAAGAACAACAAAAAAATACGAAAAATAAGATTTTTCCAAATTAAGGCATAACGATTTCATTATAGGTATTTAAAATTTTTACATTTTCCGTTTTCTACCATAAATATTGCTCTGGTAAAAAAATGACGAAATCTTTTTTGTTAAATTTTCAATCCAGTTAGTGACCAAGGAAGTTGTTTTTTAATTTTCTTTACAGTTTTTTAATAATTGAGCAAAAACGACAAATACGTAGAACAAATGAAAGAACGCCTACTGTCTCGATACTTGTAAACTGTTAATCTCTTTCACTTGTGCTTATTGTAAATATTAACTCACAGATTGTACAATACTTAAATAAAAAAAAAAAAATCTACTTTACAATAGTTTTCGTCGTCATCATAACTCGACGCTATTTCTCCCGATTTTGAATTACATCTCTTCAGTTTTTTATTTCTTTCATTCAATCCTAACCTTTCTAATTTTCCAAGTAATTTCATATTTCTTATAATTGATCTAATATAGTAACAGTTGCCAGAGTTTTATTATATATTTTAGTCTACAGGAGTATTTTAAACTCTGTGTTTCCTGTGTGATAACATGTTAGTTGGAAGGGGGTAGAAAGTTGAAACCCATAAAAGGCATAGCCTTGATAGTATTACACTATGTGTATACAAAATTCCACCCCCCTGGGTTCATTCGGGTGTATGTACACTAAAGGAGTGTACACAGCTAAAAAAACAATATTCTCCCGCGAAATATGGCGAAATTTTCAATAAAATTCTACAGAAAAGTTATCATTTTAATTCTTTCATACAAAACACCTAGAATTCTCGAGTTTGAGTATTTTCGGGTTCAAAGGTAGCCGCTAAAAGTGTCCAAAATATATAACTGACTCAATACAGTGCAATAGTATCGTCTTCGTTTTTCGAAAAATTCGATAAAAAAATTATGGACGCAGTTATGCATACGGATCTTCAATTTTCGGAGAGGTATTTCGATTACTGCAGTAGAAGAAATATAAGTATTTATATATTATGTAGGTATATATTATTTTATTGTGCGGTTTCCCTTTCTGTGCGGACACATGACAAAAATAAAAATATTTTTTTTTTTACTTTGTATTACCTACTATATTAACAATATTATTATTATTGTACCATTAAATATCGTTGCGTACACCTACAGCGCAAACATCGCGGCGTTAATGTCCACACGAGCAATTCATTAATGACGGCGGCCGCGGCGAATCTCGACAAATATGGAAGTGTATCGGTACGCCCTTAAATGGGCCTGTCGCTCACCGTGCCCGACGCCGCAAAACCTGTTCAGCACGATATTTTTATATTATACTTGTATAAAAATTACGAGTTTATATAATACACACGATATGTTTTATTATTATAATACATTTTACGTATGGAAGTTGCTTATCGGCTTAAAAAAATTAATACTGATAACGTTATTTTTAAAACCGTTACAGCGTGGCATTTGCGCCGTCTTTATACAATATTTTTGCAAATTTTTTCCTAAAATAGATTACTATATTGTGATATATATATCTTTCTCCCGGCACTTTTAGCGGCTCTCTAAAAACCAAGAGCTCTAACACGGTAATTAGAGGGATTTTTTTTATAGATGCATTGAAATGATAACATTTTGTTTGTATTTTAATATGAACTTCACCGTGTTGTTGCGGCCTAAAAATATAAAGATTATTTTACCTGTAGATTGTAATAATATAAAATATATTAATTAATTAATTAATAATAATTGTTTTCTGGTTACATATTTTACAAGCGCATAGCTAAATAATAATTTAAAGTAAAAACATTTAATATTTTTTATATGTACGGGCAAAATGAACTCTTACAAACTCTTAAATTTACAATTATTATTTGTTATAAATCCTGTACTTAAAAATAATAATAAAGTACAAGGACAAATATAAATCGTTTGTGAATTCAATGACACGGTCTTTGCACTATTGCATGTTCGTTTTAATCCTTTTACGGATATTAAATGTCCTTATATTTGTTTTACTTCCTGTTTCTCGTAGTTTTTATTTTAAAATAGTAATCGCACAAGTAATCCAAAAATAAAATAAATATATGTTATTATTTTCAAAATATATTTATACAAATAACCTAATATCAGAATAGAATAGAAGAATAGAATAATAACACTGGGAACCTTGTTTTAAGTATTACGGTAACATTTATATTTTTATCACGTTTGATTTAAAATAAAATAAAAGATAAAATACTTAGCTCTATGGCAAATAAGTATTTTAGATTCTAAGTGGAGCGAGGAATGTATTGGTTTTAAAATGATGATTATTTTTTATTTTTTTTTTTTCTGTCAACAACTTTTCTACCAGAAAGTTTGCTATGATTATCAAGTGTACACCTTTTCTGAAAGGAAATTTGACTAGGGTGGTACTTTAACAAGATAACATTTTGATTTTCCTTGGGGTTTTTTTTAATAAATGGGAAAAATCGGAAAAAATGTAAGAAAAACAGGAAAATGTACAAAATTTATTATTTTCTAATCGTAATATTACGGTTTTTCAAAGCATGTATAACTGAACTCCGCTCAGAATAGTTTTTTGTTAGTAATGATTAATCTTTTCGTACAGACATAGGTATATTAAATTACCTTCCCAACTTCTCACCCTACAATAGTGGCCTATGCATCGTGCGAAGTATGTCCGTTTTTTTTCGGAATTATGAAATATGTTTTTATTGTTTTTCGGGATTTCTATAGCTTATTGTTATTATTATTATATAAGACAGTAGAAACCGTTTTTAATGTCATTTAAAGGACTAGTCATAATAACCGATTTTTATTATAACCAAAATGATAAAATAAAATTTAAAAACTTGATTATGTATATGTATATGTATTTATATGAACATAACATTGCATTACAATTCATGTGTCTTATTTTTATCACTAAATCGTGTTTTTAATACACACAGAAAAAAAAAGTTGTTTTATTATTTTAAAATTAAATACAGTTTAATACAGTCATTATACAGACGTTATTATAATCGATACAAATTAGCAAGGCTGGACATTAACGAGTTAATAAGTTAAAAAGTTAAGTTAATTTAACTTTTTAAATAAATAAATACATTTTTTTGAACTATTAACTTAGGGAATACAAAAAGATACACTTTAAATTAATAGTTAGTAATAAGTTAATTTATATTTAAACAAGTTTGGTCGATTTAAATTTTTATTTCTATATGAATATACAAATAAATATATTATTATTATTATCATTATTATCAATATATTACGAAGATTTTAAAATACGTATTGTTATGAATGTTTGTTATTTTATATTGTTTATAAATTCAACTTTTAGTTAACTTCTAACTTAATTAAATGATAGATTATTATTATGAATTAACTTTATCTAAATTCAAATTTAACTTAACTTAACTGAATTGAAAATAATCAATAACTTGCTCAGTCTTGCATATTAGTAGGTACAATGTAGTACAAAGAATATAGAAGTTTTGCCCGGACCTTTAATCTAAGGTCATTACACTCGGTATGTTACTTCAACCGATGTCATAATCTTTACTGTAAAGGTTTATAAATGCAGACTTCATAGGACTGTACAAGGTTCCTAATAGTTTTATAATGTAATAAATTATTACATTGTATTATTACTAATAACTCCTTGTAAGATATTTAATTTATTTCCGATTGTTATTATTAAATTTTGAACTCCCGTTTGATTGTTATGAAGTTTTGATATCATATTTGACATTTTTATATCACGATAATAAACCGTTGGTAGTTGAATTGCGAATTTGTGAACATAAATAATAAACCAAAATGGTCATTGGGTTATGTAGGGCCGTCGAGTAGACTCACATACAACTTCTGAATTTTGTTTTTAAAAGTTATGTACGCTCTAACGAAATTTGTTAGGAATGTCATAATCTATCAGTCATTTTAAAAATGTAATTACATCTTGAAAAGGCTTGTATTAATACTCTGTAAAAATTATAGATGCAAATAATTATATTTACTTACTTGCAACAAAAAAATAATATCGAAAATAACGGAAACCGTGGTTATAACGTACATTCTCCCGTTTTTTTTCCAATTATCAAGAAAACTGAGAAAATAATAAAAAAGGATGCTGCATTTAAAAATTGAGACAAGATTTTTGGTAGAAAACTGTTTAAAGACAGACAAATAAACACACACCACAATAAAATGAATACTGAAATTTCTTCCTGCGTTTTTATCGCAAAGAAATAACGACATGTTTCGTGCCTTAAAATCATTATAAAGCAGCACAATGTACCGCACCATTGATGTTAACGTATAGGCAATAAAAAAACACCATAGTTAATGCAGTTTTAAAGCGAATGCCATCGAAATAATAATATATAGGTAAATATTACCTAATTAATAAAAAAAAATCCATTTCATTATATTATAAATTTAAATATATCACAGTGGTGTTCAGACCTAAAGGTTACGGATACAATGAGTGACATTATAGTTTTTACTAAACTATTAACTACAACTATGAATGTATACTTATGTAATATGTATACATACAATATTTAATATTACAACATATAAACCTATAAGACATTTTTTTTGTCGTGATATTAGTTACATATAAATTAGCTATATATTATCTTTATTCACTATTTAAAATGATTTTTTATCTTCATTTAATCGCACAGTATATATTAGACTATTAGACTATATTAGACTGCACTCTCGTGTAAATCCAACTCCCATCTCACCTAGTATTAATAGTGTTTTATCTACTGGCTACTTATGGTTTGATTTTTTCTAGAAACCTGTAAAGTCGCTGGAGAAGCAATTGCTTAAATTGCTTTTTCCGTGCACACGGCTTACATGTATTAGACCACATGTCGTTAGTTTACTAAAATATGTTTTTATATTTTAAAATAAGATTATGCATTATACAATATTATAATTATATATATAAAAAAAATTGACATTTTTTTAACGAAAAAATAATTTGTATTTGGTAATTAACTACGTTTCCGATTTTTATTATTTACAATTACGTATTCTAGGTGAAAAAAATAATGCCCGGTTATGAGAAAAAAACATATATTCCCATTGTTGGGTTTGCCCGATTGCGGCCCGAATTCAGTTAATCTTATTTTATCCCAAATATAAGTATCCCGATTGTGTCTTAAGCCATATTGGTTCACAAATTAGCGTATAATCGTATAAATAAATAAAATATTATTTCTTATAAATATACTGATATATTTTTATATTATTTACATATTATAATCGCTTTTTAAACATATGATAGTATTCGAATTATTACAATTTGTAGTAAGCATATAATATAAATGTATAATTATTATCGAATTAAAATTGCATAAAATATTTAAAAAAATTAATTTATAATTGTTGGTTCGCTGTACAGTATTCATATGAAAATACTTTGGACGCAATCGGGATACTTATTTAGTTTTGATAATCACTGAAAATGGTATTTCCTACCTAATTTACACGGGCCGCAATCGGGTATATGAAAAAGGAAAGAAGGTATACACTTTGCAAAGTACAAAAGGGCCACAATCAGGTGAACCCCCGGGTTGAGTGCAGGTACACGTAAATGAGCAATCGTTTTTTGTTGACTTTGAATATTATTTACCTAAAATAGAGTTATTGTATGTAGTCGATATTATTATATATGTAGTTATTTTTATTGCGTCGCCATCTCCCGGCTAAATATAACGTAAACAGCGCGGTGCGTTCCGCCCAGAAACGATGACAATAATGATACTATAGGTATTCGTTTTACATTTTTAATCATGTCGCGTCACCGCCGTCCAAAGTCTTGTTTTTCGTTTCCGGTAGACACAAATAAAGGAAAACTGCCCCGGCACCGGATACCGTGCCGAATATATAAAACGTCATCGATGTGCCGACGGTGGCCAACATGTAAGGGCTTATTTGAATTACTACATAAAACATGACGAACCCAAAACAAGTGGACAGCCCGCTGCCGAGTTCCCTACAGTATGCCGGAAACATCTGAAAAACATTTATAGATCGGTATTAGCGTTATTAGCTATTATTATACATTATGTGTTATTATAATAATATAAAATGGTTCTTATAAAAGGTACTTGTCTTGCTTAACTGTGATAACCAAATTAAATAATAACTATTTTGTATTCTGAGCTAAGTGGAGCGTTTTATAATGATGTTTATTTTTCGATTTTTTTTATATTTGTGAACAACTTTTCTATCGGAAATTTTGCTCCGATTTTCAAGTATAATACTTTCTGAAAGGAAATCTGACTGGGGTGGTAGTTTGTGGAGTTTATTTTTTGATTTTTTGTTTTTTTAGGTGTTTTTATAATAAATAGGAAAAACCAGGAAAAATAGCAAAATATATTATTTTCAAATTATAAATATTATAGTTTATCGACACATTTTTCATAATAATTGGAAAAAGCCAAAAACGACGAAATATATGAATTTTTTTTAAAAAAACTTAATAATTTCATTATTTTAAAATTTTGTGAAACAAATTTTGATCAATTTTGTTTAAACATTTTGCCTATGTTTTATACCATAAATATTACTCCAATAGATAAACGACAAGTAACCTTTTTTGTTGAATTTTTAATCTAGTTCATGAGTAAGTTATTCAATTTTTTGATTTTCTTTGTAGTTTTTTTAATAATTGAGCGAAAACCGAAAAAAAAAACGTAGAAAAAACAGGAAATTTTACTATAATAACTGTTTTATTATTTTAAATTTTGTTTTTTTAATGCAATTCAGTATTAAACATTTTTAAAGACTTAAAATATTGACAGGAAACTCAAATCCACTTTCTTAGACATGGTAAAGCTTTCAGAACATTCGAGCAATTTTTGAGCAATTCATAGACATTTTATTTTTACGTAATTTTTATTTGTTAGGTACTCTGTAGATAAATTGTTAGACTTAACAGAAATGTTTGAAAATTTGCTTGAAGGTTCATTATAAGTCATACTTAGTGGCAAAAAAATTTAGTTTAATGTAGTATTTTTTTTTTTTTTTAGAATTTTTAAAATCAAATTTCGGTGAAAATCGTAAATAGTACTGCTTTTAAATACATGCAAACCAAACTTTGCTCCGAATCGTTTTTCGTTATCAATGGTTTATTGTTGGTTACAAGTATAAATTAAATAACTTTATGTATTCCATCTTCTTCACTTCCCATCTACAACAGTGGACACACCCGTCCCAAGTATCAGCTCTTTTTTTTAAATTTTGTTTATGTCATTAAAGTAATCCAGAATTCCGCCAACGAAATTCAATTTGTTAATAACAAAATATCTAAAACCAAGTGTAAGAAAAAGTAAACAGCGACAATTTTCGTGTTTTGAATTTCAAGTAATTGAATTTCAAAGTTTCATCAAGTTCGGAATAAAAATGTAGATTTGTACAGCGGTCAGACAAACATTTAATATATAGACTTTCAATTTTATTATATTTAGAAGATTATAATTATTGCTCCACTCGGTGTTGCCCGTGCCAATTTTTTTTTTTACAATTTAGAAATAAAATATTAAAAAAAATCAAAATCAATACAATAGGATATTAAATTGAACGCATTTCCTCATTTTCACCTCTACCCATATCACAGTTATTACCGTTGTTTAATATTAAACTTCGTCATTTAAAAAAAGGTATTGATTACTTGCACGTGACAACCATACTATGTAATTAATTAGCTATTATTTCAACTTATTTATTCAGTCACCAAGATATTAAAAAAAAAATGTATATTCAAATTTCGTATAATAATATCAAAATTACATGTGAGTACACCTTTTAGGGGTTTAACCCCGAAAATTCGGATTTGCACAGGGATCCTTTCGTGTTATGTACCCTACCCGAAGTCTGCCCAAATTTTATGTAAATATGCAACCCATTGTGGTTTTTAAATGACTATAGCTTTGTAAGATTTGGATCAACAGGTAGGTTAACTTATTCAATTCCCCTCTCCTTCATTTAAACTCATGATGGCTTTTCATTGACTTAGTAGTAGGTTTTAGATTTTAACATAGGTTAGTAAACTTTCTTGGAGCAATATGGGGTTGGTTTGGACTAACATCATACATCTTGTTCGGTATTAGAACATATTTTTCACTCATATCTGACCGTAATAAAGACACGTTTTACTTATGTGAGTAGAAGTGATTATAACGATACAATTCTATGTGCCTAAAATAATATTTTAAATGAACTAAAATGAAAATGACGCCTCACCTCACCCGACATTATCCACGGTAACGGTACCAATCCTATGTTGACAAACACCATGTACGAGACGATAGACAGTATGGGAGTCAAGCTGGCGCCTTTCGGCCGTGTAGGGACGGCATGGACGGCGGCGGCTGCGATTACTGTTTCCTGTGCACCTGCAGCTGCGGTGGTATCGCTCACCGATACTGCCAAACACAACAGAGACAAGCACGTGCCAATGGCCGAGACGATTGCCAAAGATCGGCGATTGTATTTCTTGGTCAACCCGCATGCCATCACCGACACGGCTAATCTGATTACGTCCAGTGCCATAGTGCAGTGGTATTCGTTGAGGTCGGGGCTGATACGTTTCAGAAGCGTAACCGAATAGAAAGCCACAGTGTTTACGCCGGAGAACTGTTGGATGAAAAAGAAAGCCGACAACACGATCAGTGGCATGAGGAATGACGCCCGGGTAAAACACTGACACGTCGACGGTTTACCAACGACGACGGCCACGGTGGCGTCGGCACCCGACGGACTGGACGTCGCTGGTGGCCGTTGCGGCTTGTCGGTGGACAGTGCTCGTGACGTGGCCGCTGTCAACCGCCACTTGGCCCGTTCAGCTGATTCGGCTCGACCTTTGTCCAACAGCCAGACCGGTGACTCGGGTGTGAACCATATGAGCGCGTAGCCGGCGAACGGTATCACTGAGCAAAGGGCTGATACAAGCCGCCAGTCGAGGAACGTTCCCATAGTGTGCACGATCAGTATGCCGGCTGACACTGAGAACGATATCATGGCGAGTGCGGCACCTCGGTACCTTTGTTCCGTCACCTCAGCAATGTATACGGCCGACGGTGGGCCCAGTAGTCCGGTACACAGGCCCGTCAATAGTCGACCCACATACACGCCTTCCACGTCGTTGGCTAACGACACGGCCGTCCAGCCCAACACAAACGGTACACAGATCAACATATTAGTCGTCTTTCGGCCCAGCTTGTCCATAGATATGCCACCCAGCACGCTGCCCACTGCCATCGGCAGCGCTGCCATGCTGGCTGAAACACGAGTGAAAAATACAAATAACATTATAATTTAATTGTAATAGTATTTAAAGGATTCATATTATATGTTTAAACTAAAAGTAAAGTAATTATAGTAAATGGTTAATATATGCGTTGCATTCGTTTCATAAACGATATTTTAATGTTAACGAACTTAGAGAAAAATACGAATCACATACCGACAGTCCTAAAATATGCACTTAGTATAAAGTATAAATCGTTAACGTCAAAAATATTTAAAGACTAAATAGATGATTGTGGATAAGAACAACATAGAGACAGGCAAGTATACAGGAGGGGAGATTTGGAGGTTCAACCCCCCCCCCCGAAAATTAATAGTTTTAGGAGCTTAGGGGGATTTAGGGGTCTACAGCTTTCTTAACCTTATCTTAGGCTAAAAAAAAAGCAAAGGAGGGGACTACAACACACAAAACCTTTTTGGCTACGCCACTGTCTACATGACATGATAAGGACTAATAATTTAGCTATTGGTATTATTTTACGTCACGCATCGTTGATAACTTGCATAATGGATACCTGCGCACGCAATAGATGTGACTGCACTGATCAGACGAATAATACGTGAATTGATAAGAATGACGCTTACTACTAAATTTTATATATATAAATAATAAGAATTTGACATCAACATAGACATTTATATATTTGATCAGATTTTTATATTTATTTATTCACTTAAGTTGCGCAACTAGTAAAGAGATAAAAGTAAAAGAAGAAATTAAAATGGAAGTATTATAGTAGAAATATTATGTGGCGGATGTGTGGTGTTACTTGATATAAAATTATATGAGTGAATATAATATAATCGGAGATAGTTTATATGAGTATAACAGTAAATAAAGAAAATAGTAGAGAGAAAATAAAATATTTGGACAGTTAGGTTAGGAGAAATGTATGAAGAAATTAAGTAAATAGTGATTTAATGTGGCTGCAAGAGAAGAATTGTTATTTAATATTAAGAGAGATATGAGAGCGCGTGGAGTATATAGACGAAGAATTGTATTGACTATGAATATAGAGAAATGTGCAGTATATGGTTAGGTTAGGTTAAAAACTTTGTGGTAACCAATAGGTTAGGTGTACGTATGTATGCTCTCACCTATCCACGATTCCTGGTGACTGTCGATCCTAATGGCCGAACGGTCGTTCTTGAGCTGTGGTAGGAGTACCGCAGAAAACCCGACGGTCATCCCGGAACTAAGAGTCACGATCAGAGGACCGGACGCGGCGAACATCTGCGGGCCAATGAAAATATCATAATTTAGTTTTCACACAAATGAGCGATCACACCTTGATTGTGACGTCAAAAATTAAATTACTGGGTTTTTAAAAATTTTGAAAACACTCTAAAATCTGTGGCGTATTTTAACATTTTTCTCTGACTCTATAGGCTAATATTTATTTACCGTTTCCTCCAGAACAACATGCAGAATCATGGTTCCTCACACAAAAGACAAAGACTCTGATATTTTAAATATATTATAATCTTTGTATATACATACATCTATTATAATATTTAACAAGGAACGGATTAAAAAAAAATAGACTGGCATACTTCTGCTCGATGAGTGGACCACAGTTGTAAGTTAGAAGTTGGGAGGGTGTGATATAGATGGACAATTTTTCTGTTTATATATATGCAAAGATTAATCATTGCTAATGAAAAACTACTCTGAGCGGAGGTCTCTTGCTGTTTTTTTACTAGAGGCAATATTTTTGGTAGAAAACATTAGCCATAAAAAGTTAAAATAAAGAAATGTTGACGTCTTGATGCGCCTTAAATTTATTAGCTTTCTTTTTCGTATTGTTTTGGTTATTACCAATTATTATGAAAAATTCCTTGGAAAATCAAAAAATTACCTTTTTTTTTTTTAAGTAACTAGATTTAAAATACACCAACAAAGATATCTTGTAATATTTTTATTGTGCAAGATTTCTAGGAGAAAACATAAACTGTAAAATGTAAAAAATGAAAGATTTACGACATACTTATTTGTCCGTTTTTTTTTAACTATTATAAAGACCGTTTGGAAAATTAAAAATTATGTTCTTAAAGTACCAACTGAATAAAATTTCTTTTCAGAAAAAGTGCTACTCTTGATATAGAAGAGCAAATCTAGTAGAAATCTTGTTCACAGTTTCAAAAAAGGAAAATAAAATTCATTGGAAAAGTAATACATCCCGCACTTCGCTTAGAATATAAAAAATCTTTAAAAACAAGTGTGCCATCCTTTCTAAAAATTGCATTCATCAGCTCTCTACAAATTTGTCACTGACTGTATTAGTGAATAGTATTTTCATTTTGCCCTATTGCAGTTTATCCCGATTTCGGACATGTATAGTACCTATAGTAGTTAAAAAAAATTTTTTATTGACGTATACGTATAATTCTTGCCAAAGGCCAAAAGTTCAAGACACATCACTGCACGTAAAATTTGGTGACAATCAAATTAGTACGAGTTTTTTCGCGGTCGCAAAAAAAAAACAAATAAAAAACGTCATTCATTATTATTTTATTATTATAGAATAATAGAATTGTATTATTCTTTAATTTTTTTTCAATTTGATCTTGGGAATTATTTCGGTATGTATATTATTTGAAGTTTTTATAACTTTTCATAATATTAATCAATAATAATGATCGAAAAAATGTAGTTTTCTCCTTCTTCTCAAACCGCGTACAAAATAATATACTATAGGTAATAATGATATTAGCATTATTATTATCTTCGGAAATGTAAACCACAAATAATTTTACATGGAAGTTTTAAGGATATTTCCTTAGACCTCATAACATATTGCACGTTATTCGTTACCTGTTTAAAGACGGGTGGAATGTTGAGTTTGAAATACATGATTACAGTGTACAGCAGTCGGTATTACCGAGATAACATTAAAAATCTAATCGGAAACCATAATATTCGTCGATCATAATAATAATATCCACGGTCGCGATAATGGAAAACGATTAGTTTTTCTCTTCCACGATGTTATATAACATACCCGCCTAAAAAAAAAAAAAAAACAACAATAACGATCAGCATTAATGATAACAATATATCATAATATATAGGGTGGTCCACATTTGTCACGAAGCAGCAATGTTAGTACAAGTATGCAATAAATGAGTATACTTTGAATTTCAAATAATCACATCTCGCTTTTAAACAGACTCGAATAGAGATTAATTTTGACAAACATTTTTAATGTGTTTGTTTGATTCGTTTTCGAATTTGAAAACCCTTATTCTCTATATAAATCTGAGTTTAAAATCCAAAATGTATACTCGTTTGGGGTATAAGGATCGAGGGGGGTAAACAATTGAAAATAGTGTTAAAATAAAGCTTAATGATTGAAAAAAAAAACTAAATGATTTTTTTAATCATTTTTTTTCTTCTCAAAACCCACTGAAAAGAACACCTATTCGTGATAAATGGATCACCCTGTATATATAATAATCTAGCAAACACAATATTTTCTTTTACTGAATTCCCGTCGAATCATTGTCACGACGATCGGCGGCGATGTCGTGTTGCTAATAAAGTACACATCGCTCGCTGAGAACAACAATAATAATAATAATATTCTAATAACCGCGCATTCCACCGTCCACGGCCACCCGAAGAAAAAAACAATTTTTTTTTTGAAAATAATTTTCAAGGTCTCGGTCAGAGATCAATGATTTATTTTTTTTTTTAATTTTCAACGATTACGGTCAAAGTACGCGATGCGATATTACCCATCTCGATGTATTATGATAACGATTACGAGCATCATAATAACGTCGTATATTTACGAATAGGATACCATCACCTTGATGATATATCTGTGTAATTGCGTGCATATTATTTTTTACATATTAACAAAAAAAAACAAAAAAAAAAACGACTTGCGATTATTTAGTGTAATAATATTTTACGAGTTTATACAAATTCGGGTTTTTTTTTTAATGACTATCATTCGCGGCGTTTTGTAATTTCCGCGTATACCGTATATTATAATAATATAGAAAACACACTGTACAGTTTCCACTCTAGTTGTTTAATGTCTGTTATTATGATAACGTGCAGTTATATTATTATTATCATCATCATCGCCGAAGTAGTAGTAGCGCGTATAGCGTATAGCGTTATTCACGCGTTATCATATCTGTTTCCCGTAATTTACATAACGGTGTTGGCGTGTAGGGAAACCGTTAACATTACAGGACGTGTACCCTGTATATTATACAATATTAAACACCGTGATTTTGCGGGGGAGATCGGTTATGCGATACCTATTCCGCGACGGGCATAAATCGTATTCGCGACAATAATATTGACTGCAATGCGATTTTCAATAACACGACGTGACGACACGTGCGGCAAAATGTCTATCGATTATTTTTCACGTGAGCCATTATAATCGATAACGAAATCGTTATAATTTTCGTAATATTGATAAAAAAAAATTTGTATGTTCGAAAACAAAAATAGTATAAAATAAGTTCCGTGACAATAATTGTTTCCAGAGCGTCTCGTGTGTTTAAGCTAACCTTCTGACTATGTAGTTGCAAGAATTATCTTCTTATCATATCTCCAAATTATACAGCCTATAAGTTTCATCAAGGTGTCAAAAGGTTCTAAAAATAATTATTTTAAGGTTTAATTTGAGAAGTAAATAAATAAATTTAACATAGTTATTAATACTTAGGACTTAGTTATGTCTTACTTAACCTGAATAAATTTTCATACAAAATCATTAAAAAAATATATATATACAATTTCACCAGGGAAAATTTACCGAGGCGGGTAAAATTTCAAGTAAATATTCCCGGTTACAGAGGCACAGAAATATAAATGTATATAGTAAGCCGGACATAATTCGCACTACGGGTAGGCCACTATTGTAGGTGAGAAGTAGGAAAGTTATAAGGTATAGATAATTTTTAGTTTGTATACTGAGTGCAATAATTTATTCGAAAATGTAATCGGAAAACAATTGTGAGCAGATCTCGGTAAACTGGCAAAGTTATAGTATTAATCGTGGTTTTCTTATCAAGTCATTAATTTTGTAGTCAAGGTAATTCAGAAAGTAATAAAAATACAAAAATAAAATCGATTTACACCGTCCTTCGTTGTCATTTTTAGATTCTGAGCGAAGTGAAGAATGTATTGGTTTTACAATAATATTTATTAATTTTTTTTTTTAATATGTACTATCAGAAATGTTTCTATCAGAAATCTGGCTCCGATTTTTAAGTGTAGTACTATTTCTGAAAAACAATTTTATCTAGGTGGTACTTTTTTCAAGTCATTTTTTGATTTTCCAAGTGGTTTTCAGAAAAATTGAAAAAAAATCGTAGAAAAAACTATACAATTTAAGAAAATGCTTTTATTTTTTTCAATTTTGTTTTTTTGTTGTAATATTGTAAAGATTTAAAATTTGGAAAAAAAAAACTTATATTTGTTTTTTCCAGACGTTGTTAAATTTTCAAAACATTTTAGCAATTTTTGGACCATTTATAAACATTTTAATTTGGCGGGTTTTGTACGTAATTTTAATTTGGTAGGTATGTTACTCTGTGGATAAAATTTTCAGATCAAACAGAAATGCTTATAAGTCGTACTTTGTTATAAAAAAAATTGAGTATAATATAGAATTTTTTTTTTGTAAGAATTTTAAAATCAAATTTTGATTAAAATCGTAAATAATGTATAAACATGAATAACCAAACTCCGCTCAGTTTTGTTTTTTGTACGCAACGATAAATCGTTGCGTATAAGAATTTCTATATGTATCAATTTTTTTTAAATCTGTTTTATAGATGTTTTATAGGTTATGTTTATTATATTGTTGTAGTATTACAATTAGTTCAAGTATATATTATGTCGTAATTATATATAGACAGATTTCTAAATTCACCAATTTATTCGTTTGCGTAATTCACGACTATAGGTATACTATGTGTTTTGCTGGTATATAATGTAGTACCTAATATTTATTATATATATATATATATACTGTAGAGTATCTACTGTAGTATTATAATACAATAATTGATTCGTTCCCGTTGTATTGTTGATTCGTATTGCACATAATACGTATAAAAAATACACACCTATTGCGACGGTTACGGATAAACATTTTTGAACTGAACAAAAAAAAAGGTTTTTTTTTTGTTTAAGATTTTTGGGTCTCCGTGATAGTATAGGTAATAGAAAAACAATAATACCATATAAAAATGATATTCGACATCAAAATCAAATGTATAGATTTTCGACAGTTCGTTGGAAAACGTATTATATATAGGTACCTAGAAAAGATAAATAATATACATAGAAAACGAAAATATTTTGTAGTACAATCATAAAAAGTTTTTATTTGTATTATCATTATTTTACATAATATAATATTAAGTTTTAAGAAATATGTCAACATTAACGAATTTTCATGAAAATTGACACTGGTACTTGCTTCATTATTATTTTTTTACAAATTATTGTAATTTATAGATAATTGTAATAATATATGATTATTATAAAATATAATTGCAAATATTTAAAAAAAAATATACCTAATCCTAATTATATTATCCATAATTATATTATTATTTTATTTATAATATTTATCGTGTTCGTGAAATCGTTATTGATATTGTTATAGATATTACCTTTCATATTGTTTTTGAATCCATCATCGTGCAAGCCCGTAAAAAATATCGTAGGTATATTTATAGTATATATAGATGTCGAATTTATCTGTTATAAAAAAAAAAAAAATGCCTGTATATACGAGAAATCGCGACGAAATAGCGTTAAAGTCTTTTCGGGAAGACCGCGAATACTGCGCACACTGCCGTTCATAGAAAATACTCTGATCGCGTTGTGTTTCGCCGCACGACACAGGTACGGTACAGGTCTTGTACGACCGATATACCCCTTCTTCTATGTTATTATAATATACAGAAAGTATTTACGCACTTATTATAATTGATGCATATAACATTATGGCTATAGATTTAACTTCTCTATAAGTACAAAAACAAACAGTATGACGTACTTTTAGGTTGAAATATTACACTTGAGCGTATTTATTCATTCGTTTGTCCACCGTTTTAATGTGATTAAGTGAAAATAACGGATTGTAATAAAAATCTGTAAACAAATTAACACCAATAGTTATTATTTTATTTTTCTTAGTCGACGACCTTGTAAACTGGAATAAATCGTATATATTTATGCATTGCACCTACTGTTGTACGACGAGTTGAAACACCGACGATACTATAACATAAGATCATGTTTTGACCTCTACAATCGTTATTAATTAAAATCAAATTTTATTTCGTCACATACAGACTTAACGTGAACTATCGTCAATAAAATTAAAAAAAAAAAAATTCAGTTCTTAAAGTCGTTTCGATCTGTATGGTTAAAGTACTTCGCATACTCTATCATAAGATCGGAACATATTTTGTGCGTTATATACCTATAATATTAGTGGTGTCCCATGAGTTTTTTTGAGAGTATACTATAACAACATGTGCTTTACATGGGACATTTTATAACTATATGGTTTACGCGGTTTATATGAAAATAGATATCAAATATCAGTTATACGAAATACAAATAAAAATTACTAAAACAAATTACTCAACATTTTTTTTAAAAAAATTAATTTAATTTGTAAGAAAAAAGACGTCCTAGAATAATGGAGCCACTGTTATAGGTAATTTAATGTATATAACGATAAACCATTGCTTACGAAAAAACGATTTTGAGCGGAGTTCAGTTGATAGTGATGCTTTGTCAACAATATATATTTCATTTGATAGTAAAATAATTAAATAGGCTTTATATATTTTTTTTAATAATATTTGTTTAATGTTGTACCTATTTCCTCAATTTCCTATGTTTTTCCTGGTTTTCCCATATTTTATATAAGTTTTTCACATTTGCTGGGAGAACTCCTCAGAAAATCAAAAATGATCTCTCAAAAGTACCTCGTTAATGAAATTTTCTTTTAGAAACATTACTATCATTAAAAGATGGAACAAAATTGCTGGTAGAAAAGTTGTGTTCAAGAAAAAAATAAAAATATTTTAGTAATATATTTCGTACATTTTCCCGTTTTTTTTTCGGTTCTTCAAATTTCAAATTTTTTGAGAAAACTCTTGAGAATCGAAAAATGACCTCCTTAAAGTACCTTCCTACACCAATGCTACACTTAGAAATTCGAGCAAGTCTTCTGGTAGAAAAGTTGTTAACAGATAAAAAAAAAAACATCTTTGCAATTTGTTTGGGGCTATAGCCTCCCATTTTAGCTTCGCCTATGTTCTACTCAGAATTTAAAATTGTGAATTGTTTAGTTATGATTACTGAATTACAATTTTGATTACTATTTCGGATCAGTGGTATAAGTTGTGAGCAATAATAATAATATATCATGATTAATTTATTTTACCATCTAAGAGTATACGTAGTATACCTATAATTTTCCGTAAACCTTCCTGTTTTTTCTTACTTATTACAAAAATTGTAATAAAAATAAAAAAAAACTACCTTCGCAATACATTAATAAGATATAATTTTATTACATGGAAGATGCTAAAATTGATAATTAGAGCAATATTTCTGGTAGAAAAATGATTTAAAGACAGAAAAAGTGTTTCACCTCTAGTAACATAATTACATTCATTCCTCACTGTACTAAAAAAAAAGAGCAATCAACGCACAGGACACAGACACACAGAATAATGTTCTTCTCTTTAACTTTGATGATATCCTGCAGGCTAATTTACTATTTAATATCAAAACTAACAGGAAATAGCGCAGTCAAATTTGGTTTTGCGTTTATAAGACATAGACAACAAAATACGTACATGTGTGTAGCGTTCTCTAGCAGTATATTAAATTTAATTAGGAATATTGCCTAATCACGTTGTACTCTAATGCATTTTGTTTTCTCGTGTTGCTGCAGTATTATAACAACAATATTATTATGTTGTCACGAGCCACAAACATAGTAAACGGTTAATTTACACGTTTAATACAATACATATTACACATATTACATATATATACCTAGTCTAGACATAAATACTGTCAGTACTTTAAATGTTTATTACTCAAGAACAACACATCTTACAGAAATTATATAAATATATTTATAAAGTATACATAATTATAATTTGAATCATATATATATATTACTCGAAATGCCCCCCCCTCGTTTTCAATACAACGACGTAATATTTCTGACCACTGTTCAATACACGTACGAATAGTCTCCAGGGGGATTTATACAGCTGCCTTCACAATACTTCGCTTTAGTGACTCTAAATTTGCGTGTGGTTTTTTACAAACTCTCTCCTATAAAATGCTTCATAACCCATATTCAAGCGGATTCAAATCCGGACTTGCAGAGAACCATTCAGATGCCTTTATAAAATTTGGAACATTGTTTTCAAGTCACTCTTGTGTTGTTTTTGTCTTATGGCCAGGCGCCGAATCCTGTTGAAAAACCCAATCAATTCCTTCGAAAAATTAATTACTAAGAGGCTTCACTAAAGGCTTTAAGACGCTATTCTGATAAACACGAGCTCCAGTTTTAACCCCTTTCTCGTAGAAATGAATTTGTGTAACACCATGCCGTGACATACCCCACCAAACCATAACTTGAGCAGGATGGTGGCCTCGTTGAACGCATGAAACTTTTTCTCTGACCTCTAATGATGACGTTGCATATACCCTATCATTCTGATTATTGTATTTTTCTTCAACGGTGAATATTTTTTCATCTGTGAATAAAATTTGTTTACATTTTTGTCGACCGTACGATCGTTGGAGCTTTTTTGATCTTTCAAGTTTTATTCTCTTTAATCGGTCCGTCAGCAAATAGCTTGTAAATCGCTTATATGCACGCATACCTAAATCATCTCGAACTATGCGAGATATAACTATAACTAACCGATTGCGCGTTGACTTTCATCTCTTTTGCGAAGATTTTCTGTTTCCGTAAAGGATTTCGATTGATTCTCGAACGAACGGTTTCAATCGCTTTTTTCGTCCGAACAGAACGAGGACGACCACTTATAACACGACCAAAAACATCACCAGTATCAGTGTAGCGTTCAATGGTGCGATGCACAAATTGGTCACTCATTTTAAATGGTTGCAAGTTAGCAAAAGTTGGATTTGCCCGATTTAAACAAACCAATTATGGCAATGCTCGTGTGGTAATTTTCCTGTAGAATTCCCTTGATCGGGCCATGCATGTGACACTTATCGTGCACTCATAGTGTCGCTACTTTTGGAAATTAAAATGTCTCTTAACTATACGGTACTGATAGAATTTATATCAAGACTAGGTATGTATTAGGTATATATAATATGTAAGTATAGAAAATAGAAATTCGACGCAGCTTATAAGTAAATATATATATGTATAACGAATTACCTTGTAGATCGCAACACTCGCGTGAATTGGCAGGCCAATAGAAATATAAACCAAGTAGGTAGGTCGTATACGCTCGTTATACCAAAACCCAAAATTATTATTATAAGAAAAACGGTGTGAATATTGTGTTTTGTACAATAGATATCACAGTATATATGTATAGGTATTACGCAAAAATAAGTTTTACGAAAACCAGTACCTTTTTTTTTTCTGCTATTATCAAAACGGAAATTACGGCGGTTTTAGTTACAACGGGGGGTGACCAATGTTCGAGGGTGAACGTGACGCAACGCAATATCGGAAACAATTTTTTTTTTGTAGGTATTTTTTCAATATAACAACATCGATGTAGGCAATAAAATATAAACACAATGAAAAACAGAAATTCTGTCTGCTTGTACCACGGGCTACCGTGCTACCCAAAATACAATCGAGTTGTACACCGCATGGCAATAAGGAAAAAAAATATATGCGTGTATTGTGCGACGGTATTATATTGTTCGCGAATATGTGTGCAGTAGTAGTTTTTATGCGTTTTTGATTCTGATTTCGGTAAGGAAAAATCGAAAAGAAAAAAAAAACCACTCGGGATACATGCCATTTCTTTTGTAAACTATTATTTATTTGATTTTTTTTTGTCTTTTATAAATTTCACGGTTATTATTATATGGTGTTATAAAAAGTAAAAATTATCAATGTGGGTGGCTTCTGTTTGTTGCATGCAGTTATGTATACGTGTGTTATGGTTTGAGTGCAAACAGTGTCTTGATTTACTCTGTGTGTAAGCAAGAAAAAAAAAACCAACAACAATAATAATACAGCAAAAAAAGAAAATATGTATATAGGTATCCAATATCGAATTTACCACCAGTATAGTTTGCTGTTACTCTTGGGTTACAGAGCGAAGCGTACAAAATTTGATAATCGAATAAATAAAAAAAAAAAATAAATAAATAAAACACCTCTATAAACATACGAATGCGATCCCAAAAGCCTTAATATTTATTTCTACTTGATTTTTTTTCATATATCCTATAACCTATATATTATTTGTTTTATTAAAAATACAAGAGGATTCATATTTTAAAGTTTTGTACATCTCTCGGATTACACCATCTGTATACATATATATGTATATGTATTTGCATATATATATATATTTATAAAATATAATATCCATACTCGTTTGTTGTTTGCGTGTTTTAACTAAAACTAAAGGTACTTAAATAATATACTACATGGATCGTAAAAAGGTATACATTCATGGGTATACTGAATGAAATACTCAAAAGTATACAATATGTAAATTGGAATATTTGAAACCATCGACATATTATTATGCGATGTATTATGGTCTTCACATATTACTGATTCAAACAAGTGGACACTGCTGTGCAATCGATTGCAGCTACGCTGCAGTTTCCACTTTAATAAAATATCCAATTTATGTTATATATAGCTAAGTAAGGTGGACAAGTGAATAAAGTAAATGTATCGTGTGTTATTTAATTTATATTTGTTTAAGATCCCATGTGTAATGAATGTGGTACATTTTTTTTCTTGAAAAATACTTTTTTGAATAGTAAAAATGCTCCAAATTATTATCATTTAATTTACCTTTCTCCAAATAGTCCCGTCTAGTTATATGAGTTACACATATTTTCAGTTGAGGACATTCTCTCTTTATATTTCCCGCACTATATTATCATTTGTGGTGTCTACAATTTAAAAACTAAAACTCTAAAAACCATTAAATGCTCCTACTAGATTCCGCTATAGGCCAACTAAGGCTTTTAACAACTCTGAAGCAACTTTTCTTTTCTCTGAATATTTTACATCTGTTTTTAAACCTCTCAATGCCTCCATCACCTCTAACAACTCCTTCAGCTAACCTTACTCACTTCCATCTAAATGTAATTTTTCTCTTAATGTCGCTTTTTTTAGCTCTTCATAAGTTGAAACCCTGATGGAATATCAGCTCGTTTACTTTTCCAATGTCATTTCGCTCTATTTTTCCCATTATTTATTTTGTTCAGAAATTGTATAAACGAAGGTATTTTCCCCTCAATTTGAAAAATCACGTCCGTGACTCCAGTATTTAAGTCGGGTGATTCGTTCTCTGTCACCAATTACAGACCTATCTCTATATCACCTTACATCGCTAAAATTTTTGAATCTATTGTGATTAATTATGTAGGTCTAAGTCTGAACCATAATCTTATTCCGCAGCAGCGTGGATTCCGTAAAGGAAAGAGACAAAAATACTACCCTAATGGTATTTGAATAGGTATATTTAAATTTAAATAACACATATTATGAAACGAATTAAAATAGTATTCGATTTTCACGTTTTACAGCGTTGTTAGTTTTAATTACCCGGAGAAAAACTTTTTGATGTTGTCAAAGTGGACGAAAAATTAAAATTAAAAATTCCATCATTTAATTGCGCAATAAACATTTATTGATTGAATTCTGAATCCAGCTGAGTATCTGTACTTAATAGAACGATAATTTATAAAATTCATAATATTTAAATTGAAAAATAAATATACATGACAAATGCAAATGAAAAATGTTTGCACTTTATTTTTATGTACAATTTTAAATTTTTGGTTTAACCGTCCTTTGTTCAAAGTATTGAATTGCTTCACAAACACAATATGATATGGTTTGTTTTCATCATTTAAATTGTATAATGAAAAGACGGACATACTTCGCACGTGGGTGGGTCATTGTTGTAGGTGAAAAATTGGGAAGATAGTACAGGGGAAATTTAACGTATATTAAGATATTATATAGCAGAATCATGCAACGGACGCCTTTTTTTTTTATCTAAATTTTATTTCAGGATATTAAATCTAGGTACATACTTTTTACAAAAATGTGTTGATAGCTCTTATAGTCTATAGACTATAGATTTTAGACTTACCTAAAGTGGCTTTCCATAAATAATAATAAGTTGTTCTCAATAATATATTGCATGAATCTTATTTATTATGTATAGATATATTTCGTATACAAAACCATTATAATCATAGATATTTAAAAAAAAAGTACAATTTATTAATATTATTATACAGTATATTATTTTTATTTATCGTTATAACAGGTGTTAAGTCGTCGTTTTAACTTAAATTTGTATTTTGTAACAGGATGGGAATTTTCGATTAAATCATTTTTTTTTTTTTACATGGACACATGGGACCCCATGATTATTTGATCTTCTATGGGCCTGGATCAATTTTGACCCAGAGATCCCCCTCCTCTGAAAGCGCTTGTCTATACGCAATATAAAAAATTTATAAAAAATGTACTTGCCTAAACAACAAAATTTAAATCCAAATAGAATGGTTGGTACGTAATGTTATGTATATGCCTACAAATGACAACGGAAAGCCAAAAATAGAATGTAGTGACTAGTTAAACAAAATTTCACTGTAATGTCTGTGTTAGATAACTGAATACAATAAACGTGTAGGTATTTTTATTTAAGTGTATTAGCTGATGACAGCTGCAGTTGTGAGTCAAACTCAAAAATAATATTCAAATTTTAAGATAAACACTAGTTATGGTGGCCACTGGCCACTGATCAGTCGATAACACTGTCGCGTGGCGCTGCTTATGAATTAAGTGGACTGGGTACATAATAATAATTTAGTAATGCAATAATAATTTATTATGATTTAAACTAGATTTAAATATAGACTATAGTATTTTTTTTATTAACTTTGAATATTCGTGTTTATACACAATATCTAATATTAATAATGCTAATAACAGTATTTTTCATCATCCCATTTTCGTCAATATAAGTAGTGGCCCACTAGGCAAATCCCGGTGTCCCAGTGGGCTTATCCGCCCCTGCTTTCGAATTCCCATTTTATTGTGTTATGCAGGTGATTTTACGATTCATTTATAAATGAATTGTAATTAATCCTTCACTTCCTCTTATTAAAAATATTCGCCCACTACGCCATTGTATTTAATGATATAGTTGTCTGTTGAATGATGATTATAATAATTATTTCAGATACGATAAAAATTGGTTATAATTACGAAAAATAGACTGTGCAAGAACAAAATATAAATAACATGTGTTTGGCATTCGTTATTTTGTTATTGATTTTCAAAAAGGTGGGCGGATTTTTTATTTTTCGTAGTTTGAAGAAACTATAACCATAGATTCATCGTGGCTCAGGGACGGATCCTAGGTCCCTAGGCTCCCCTTCCACCGGATACATTATTTATCTAATTTTTTTATATTTCTATAAATCCTGATATTACTATATTCCAATCACAGATATGTATGATAATATAATATAATACATTATGTTATATTGTTATTGTATTTGTGTTGTAAACAAATTGTCACCCCCCCCAGATCTTTGCTCTGGATTCGTGCCTGTAATGGCTATATATGAAATATAAACAATTAGGTACCTATTTTAGATTCGGATCTTAAATATATGAAAATAATAGTATTAAAAATGGTAGAATTTTAATGTGCATTTATTTTTTTCGTTAACTTTAACTGGTCGGAAAAAACAAAAAAAAAAAAATTCTTTAGATACATGCGTGGTTTATTAGTTACTTTTAAAACCGGTACATTGTGTTCTCGACAATTAAGTGGAAATATTGACTGTCAAATCGCAATTAATTATTCGAACACGTCAATTAGTGTTAAAAGTTAGTTTTATGAGTCTTGT